TCCCCTATCCGCGACCTGGGGACGCGCTCGGTAGCATACAGCTCTGCTCTTCCGAGTCTCCCATCGGTAATCAGTCACAGATATTTTTTTTACATTGACGTGATTCCGAAATACTAAAAACGAGCTTTCTGGCTTCTGTGTGTTCTCATTGTATATTCGGAGAACCTTCCTTGACATAAATCAATACTGCTCAGTTGACACTGTCAGAGCTTTAAAGGAATCACGGAATGCGACGCATGATTGAAAATAAATAAGATGAAGCAGTCAGAGATGGAGAAAACTATCATTCCTTTATGATGACTTGCGTCAGTATCCGAATTCCTAGTGAAATGGCTATGCAATTTTTCTCGAGGTCATTTTACACGACATGGCGGCACGATAATTTATCACAGATTTTTTTGTATCACAGTACGGTAAAAACATATGATGGTTCAACGGCTCAATATTTCTCTATATTTCCATCAACTAACTTGACCCTTCTATCCTTAGCTGTACGTATTCCCCACTTAGACCGCTAAAAGCAAAAAGAACCTGCAGTTAAAAGAGCAAATGAAAAATGGTCTGCTAGGTTGCCCGATGGTGGAGTGTGTAGTATGCTTGTTTTCTCTCTGTGAGGTCTCGGGCCATATTCCTGGCGCTTGAGCTCACACTTCTCTTACAAGACGAATTCATCATACTATAAACTTCTCTTTCCTGTTTTACCTTATCCTCCCCACATTCCCTTGACAGAAAACCGCAATCTGGTCTCTGTGGCTGCACATGAATTGGGGCATAGTTTAGGTCTGGGACACTCAGCTGTGCCCACAGCAATCATGTACCCGTACTATGTCAGTACATGGAAACGAGTCCAGTTGGATCAGGATGATATTGCTGGAATGCAACAAATTTACGGTGAGTCAATCATTTAAAAACAAATGGGAACCCTTGTCTCGTATGTGTGTGAGTGACGGAGAGATAGGGATTGAGTGAATGGTAGTTATCGCTAACTGGGATGAAATAGGGTTAGTTTTCAATGAATATTGATACAAACTGACCGTACTTTAATTCTACGCCCAATCCTCGATTCGTACACTCACGCAAAAATTCAAAGAGCATCAGACTCGAGTTGGTCTCTTTAGAGAATCTCTGGTCCATCCCGACTTTGAATCTCCGATTCCTCGTACAAAAGATGTTTGTTCTCCTCTGTGCCAATTAATCCATTCGATTAGTCGCAACTCATTGTTATTCGTATATCATTTGTGTCTGGTGTTATGGTATGTGAGTTTTCACCATCAGACTTCTGATCCCTTAATGTTTTTTTCAGCGGATAATACTATAAAGCAATCCATTCCATCAGTTGGGAGATTTTCAAGAGAGAGCGCAGCTTTTGTGTTCGATTCTTATCTGGTAACTTCTGGACACAATGATTTGCACGAGACACGAAATTTTACCTTATTTATGAGAATGCCACTGTCTATTTTCCGTTTCGTTTTATCAATTTTGGACACATCTTACAGGTTTCCCCGTAGTATTATTTGTCGAGAAGCCTCACTCGAAGACATGCATCAGGTAGATTCAGTATTAAATGTTTGCAGCGGTGGAGTGATTGGTTTGGAACCAGAGTCAAATGACTGAGAACAAGACATGCTAAAATTCAGAGTTGATGAGTCTGTTATTCTACCGAACTCGAACAATTCTGCAAGGTAGTGATGCGCAAAACATAGAGGTTTTCAGTGATTGCATAGATAGTCACGATTTCCCGCCGTATGCAGAATTATTACGTCAAACGAAATCCATTGTCTTGTGACGCTGGCCGTTGAGCGCCACATTTTGCGTTGCTGAAGCAAATTAAGCTCTTGACATCCACAACAGATAGTTCTGGGCACTGGATAGAAATAACAAACCCCTTTGTCCGAGTTCAGATCTTAGTGGATGTCTCCAGAAAGTTTCTTAATAGTCTATGAAGATTTGCCTAAAAAACATCTTCAAAGAATATAAAGAGTATATAATATAATAATACGAGTTTTGCAGGAAAATGGCATTTCGAAGAGTTGACTGACGGTAAATGAACGACTTTGGAAAGCACTTCAATAACAGGGCTGATACAAATCTTGTGATCATTTTACCGAAGAATATTCGATTATCCTGATCAAACTTGAGGAACAAATAACATAAGGAATATCTTTCTACTTCTTTTTTATTTACTGAATATACAAATCTACAGTCAATATTCAGTAAGGTAGTCACCGCCATGCAAAGGCTGTCTGGGATAATACAGACATGGGGAAGACGGGCGGCGGTGGAGCTGTTCGAACCCGGGACTCACAGGTTACAACTTGGGTTTTCGATTGTGAAGAATCCTGTATGAATAAAGCACGATGCTGATCCTATTTTATCTTCCGAATAGCTGTTACGGAACCATAATTTGAAGGTGTTTGAACTATATCAAGCGATATCAGAGCTACTTCTGTAACCCATTTTTGCACCCAGAAGTTGTTAGTACTGACAGTTCGCTTTTCATCACTGTAATCTCAATTCAGTTTTGTAGATACCCTCCTTCTCCTTTTTTGGTTCATTCACTACACTGGTTAACACAAAGTTGAATAAGTATTATATGGTTTTATTCGAGCGTAAACTAAATGATAACGTCCTACAATAATTGTGTTTCCTGTTGCAAGGACCGAACGAATGAACAGTAAAGTCCTGGGGAAGCTGAGCAAAAGCTTCTTGTGACACAACCGACAGGTCAACCTACGATCTTGAGAGCAACCGAAAATAATGTAGGATAATTGAGGAAAACACTGCATTGCGAACAAAAATAATGCCGTCTGATCTGTAGGTGAAGCTCTAACAGCATCTGAATCTGAAGAATAAATGTCGCGATCAAAGTATCACAAAGTAAATCCGTCTACGACCAATTTATTGACAAATTCGTACACTTTTAAGTTTGGGGGTAGATAAATTGGTCGAATAATAGAGTAATAGACTGAATGACTGCTAGATTGAATTTGCTAACTGAATGAAGCTATTGTGTTCCAGCGGTTTCCTACTACTGATCTCCACTTTTGGAAATAAAATAACTATATATGGTGGGAAAGTTAAATTTCGTTTATTGCTACGAACAACGGTACTGAAAGAAATGCTCTTTCATAATTCCTAGTGCCTAATAATTGACAGTGATTTGTGAAACCCGATAAAAAAGAGCTATCCAGATAGTCATTGCTTATTTTTGTGTGTCTCTTTCAAAGTTGCTTATATCGACTGTTATATTTACCCCAAATAGGTGCCGCCAAACCTGGAAAATTCATCCCTCCAGAACCACTTCTACCGGACATACCGCCACCACGTGAGTTTTCACTAGGTGGTAATAATGTAGCTTATAATTGACCTATTTTGTCTGACGAAAGTACTGATAAAGTGGAGTACCGTTGAGCTCCCACCGAACCCCGACACCACTCACCCCGGTTCGTTGGAAACTCGGCTTGCAGAGAAAAAGAACAACTTAAAACCCTTGAATAAGTTTAATGATCGGGTTTGTTCATCGTCCAACAAAATCTTGCACTCTGAAACAAAAACTAGTCGCAGAAAGAAGTACGCATTTTGTTCGGAATAAACATTGATTAATTTGAAACTTCGGAATTAATCTTATGACCCCAAACCGTTCATTCAGAGATTTGAATAGGAAAACAAATTTTTTCGGTATGAATGTTACCCAAGTGAGCGAGCACTCTGTCGCCTCAAAAAAGCTATTCATTTTATGACGTCTTCACAGTTTGCATCCTCTTCCGGAACTGAAAATTTCAACCAATTAGTATGTTTTGGTTGACCCCTCACATATTAAAAGTATTCGCGTGTTGAGGAGATATTAAGAAAAAATATGCATGAAACAGGCTACTTTGCATATGTGAATACAGTTGCACCATTGGAAAAGACGAGAGAAATAAACAGACAAATAAGGAATCTGGAAATTTGAAAAACAGCAGAGTACTTGGATCAATATTGCCAAGTATATCGAGTTGGTATTCTTCTCAAAGCTTCCATTAATATATTTTGTAATATATACTATAACTGTTAGGTCGGCTGATGTTGTCTGCTTCAAGTCGACTGAATACCTCAGTCCAAGTTCGTGTATGATGACCATTAGGCACTGTCGTAACTGCTCACCTGTCCGTCCGTTTATCTGTCGACATTTCTGCTTACCGGTTTATTGGCCTGTGTTTGTATGCTTCCCATGCCTTTCAGTGATACACATATACAACAATACACAATGTAATAGTACCCACGGATAGTAATGGTATTTCACACCCATTTTGCACACAAAAAGTGCTGCATACTCAATGATTCCGTTCGACAGGACATTTAATATCCGTTAGTTCCTAGTTTGATGCCTTTTCGCGAACTATCGGTTATCCGACGTGCCTTTTCAAAGAACAGTTCACCGCAATCCATAAGGCACACACTCATTCGCGCGTAGGAGGACATCCTTCTCAGTGCAAAATGCGTGGGGGAGCAGTTGGCATTTTTCACTCCCTGAATCGGAAATCCGTGTTTGTTATGACCCATCCAAACTTGATCGACCCAAACCTAATGTGGAATTGATCAACACGTCCAGATTACTATTGTACGGTTAAATCTTCGACGCCGGTCACCGCAAACTCGACTACCATTTATCGATCAAACACCACTACTGTTCCACCAGGTTCTCATGTGACTTACCCAGTTCACAATCAACAGTGTAATTCACAAGAATAAGGGATGAAAAAAATATAACAATAAATTTCACACACATGTATGGGGCTGAATCAGTTTTCTCGCTACTTACGAAGTTGATTCTGTTTCTAACCGTCTTCGTTTCGGTATTTATTGGCACTATATACGTGATTTTTAATCCCGCGATAGAATAATTTTACTATCCTCACATATCGTCAACCATTTATGATGTGTAATTATTGCTTTACGTACCCAGTTGTCTCTAATGGGATAAAAGATATAGCCAACTGGTTAAGAGTTACAGAGACTAAAGTGAACGTATTACTAGCTATTACCAATCATTTAAGTGCATTCTGATTTGCATAACTCACTGAACTGATTGTAGCTCACTCAGACTACCATTTGTTAAAACATAACTGCGGATTTCCCTAAAGAGTGTAGTAAAACCCTGGGGACAAATCATGCCTCGGGAAACGATCATTGACTGGTAAAGTGCGACTTTGGTCCATTTAAATCAGCACTGTTCTCACGTTTATTATCAGTGTACATTAGACCGTGCAAGTGGTATGCTGTCCAAGCCTGGAGACCACGGTTACAACGTAATCATAAGATGTTCGAGAGTCCACAAAAGATCGCCACCAAGGTGGTCAAGGGACTGCGTTGCCTTACCTATGGGGGATAGATTTCAATCACTGGGGTTATATTCCACTCAGTATTGTCGAATTCAAAGAAACCTTATTTTAGTGTATCAAGTGTTACAGAACCCAAATCATCCATATCGGCCGCTGCTCGCATTGTCGCCCAACATCCACCTCAGGGGACATCATTTGAAGTTAGTGCTTCCAAACGTCGACTGAAATACTGGTTTCAATCTTTTGCCGCCCGGTTGTACCCGGTTGTTTTACCTGGAGTGGTTTGACTGCACTTGTGTCAGGGTTACAAGATGAAATACAGTTCAATAGAAATTAGGCCTGTCAATACTGGCTGGTTAGGTCGATCAGTAGTGTGACATCCGATGAGAATTAGCTATGGAATGAATTGAGCTCTCATCACAGCTCTCCCATCAGATATCGTTTCTGTGCGAACTGTTGAATCCTGTAAGCGGAGATTCGATGAAACCCTAGCACACCTTACATTTTTACAAAACGGAAAACGCCAATTAATTGAAGAAAGCAGTATGCGTTATCTCCTTCCCGTAACTATGTGTTGCATTTATCATTTTTGCCCAGAAACGACCCAGTTGCGTAAATATCCTATGAGAACAAAAGGGGCGTGAGCTTGAAGGTAGTTCCCCTAGTAAAACTTTGGAATTAACGTAAGCCAATCCACTGAGGGCCAGCAACCCAAGAAAACCCAAGTGGGTTAACATCCATCATTGTCAGTGTCGAATCCGTGAAAATTCAGTGAATGTGCATCTCTCATGATTTGCGGTAAGTCTGGTGTGTGGCCGATAAGCGCTTCATTAATTGTACATAATGAATACAAGATCATTAGTTAAGGCGTCACACTGAAGCATCGAAATGGCTGCTATTGGGTTTCTAAGAATTTTGGGGCTATCATCTGATAAACTTCACATGAGCCGTGGCTTACAGAAACAACTCCATTAGTTGGTTGCATTGTTGGCTTACTTTATGTTCATGAAGTACGGATCTTATATACTATTTAAAGTTGTATATTTTAACATCCAGCTTTTAATTTTTAACGTCACTGATTGGAGATTTTAAACCATGTCCTGTTCCCGGACATACTCATTTTGATTTTTCTTTAGCACCTGTAACTACTCCACCAACGGAAAAGGGCAAAGTGTTCGACTACTGCAACATCAGTATTCATGCAATCATCAAAATTCGCAATCTGGAATATTATATTTTCAAAGGTCCAGTGAGTTTATCTACCCTTCTCCTGGAGGCGGCCAACACTTGTTAGAATCATTCCCACCATTTCGTAATGCACTGTTTTCGAGTCTCTCCTGATTGAATCGACGAAGCTTCTACAAAAGTATGTAGCTCATCGCCGTCGGGCTTATAAACGCACCTATCTCACTGAGTTACTTTTCGGTTCACTTATTCAAGTCCTAGGGATTAGAAAGTAGATTCCTATAGTTAAACAATCGGTCCTTGTTTAACCCGTCAATCTTCTGACAAACATTCGGCAATGAGAAACAAACTAAATTATCTAAATCGGACTGTGCACAGTGTGGATGCACATTTATATTTGCATGTTTCTGAAACTCCAAAATGACATTATTATCCACAAACAGCTCGAATTCGAGTAAATTAGGTCGAGCCTTGGTGGTTCACCGCCTGTGAGCCCTGTGCACTACAAAATTCGTTCGGAGCTTATGTCAACTCTATCACCACCGGTTGCTAAATTGTCATGTTGAAGCCGAGCCTATGGAACATGCCCTAAATCAATTCGAGCATGAGTTCCATAGTGTTGCTTCGAATCTCGGTATCATATTTCGTGTATTTTTATTATTTAATCATCCTATTTTTCAAGCACTTGCTCCTCATGCACTGACTTTTTCACACTACTGAATTGTTCATTCAGTAGCTTGCTCATTCCTATTAAAACATAGGAAAAGATCCTGTCTACGGATATTTATGGTTACGCTGTTATACAGTGCGATGGCTCCATCGTTTCTCATCCTCTTGTCCCTCTCACCCGTGACCTTAAACAGGTAAATCCCCTCCGGCCCTCTCTGCGATCTGATTGGATTATTTTCCGTGATTTGAGGCACTTGGGCTCCTTCAACCAGACTCGAGACTGTCTCATTACCGGCTGTACATTTGTAATGCCCCTGTTGCCACGTCCAGTCCATGCGTGTGGATGGCACTCCTGCTATACAGTCGAAGTTCACTGGGCCTGCCGAAGACTCACGGTTGTAAACAAGGTGTGGTTTCTCGTTCGGGTTAGCTGAGCAAGCATTAGGTCCCTTGTTGCGGCTGAACTATCCGACCGATCGATAAATGAACCCTATCGGTCAAGCGATGATGACACTGGGCCAACGTTTGACTCGTCTATGATACACACACTATTTTACTAAGCGGGTTCGGTAAATGGATACTCGCAGTAAAACTTTGAACCTGTCTTTAAGTGCGGACTGCAATATCCTGTTCCAAAACCACTCATGTGTTAATCTGTGTATTCTCACAATCATTTACCCGGCTTTGTCAAACTAGCCTGGCTGTGCGAATAGTTGAACAGTAGTCGCAATTGACCTGTCTGGTAAGTGAGTGTCAAGTCCCCAGTCGATTGATAAGGTAATTGTAACCAGGGTCTGGCGAGCTCCTCACTGTGTTTGAGTGATGTACTTCGGGATAACGGAAATTTATTATGGTATTACGATTAGGATTAAGATTAGCCGTTACATTGTTTGTTATCATGGATTGCTCACAATTCGTCGATCGACGATCGTGTGGCATTGATTGCAATGTACCGCGAGAACAGGGAAAACCTTTCACTGACAGTGAAGGAATTAAACAACACCTGTGCAACGAGGATCACCAGAAACGGTGCCGAAGTGCTGGTAAACAAATTCAAATCTACCGGAAGTATGCACGCTCGAAAACTCAAGGGACATCCAAGAACAAAGAAGGATGAATGTGATATATTCAAAGTGTTGCATTGTGTAAATCGAAATCCTCAGGCGACCATAAAGCATGTTGCCCAGGAGTGCATGTTCAAAGTTTTATTACGCTTATCCGTTTACCGAATCCCCTTCGAAAAATAGTGCGTATATCTTATACGAGTCAAGCGTTGGCTCGGTGCCATCGCTTGAGCATTTTCCATTCCGAATTGCCCACGTGGCGCATCGTTCAACAACGGATTCTCTACCACCACCTAAGCAACATCGAATTTTTATTCTCCGAAAATCGCACGACTGATCGGTCGGATGGTCCAACCGCAACAAGAAACCTGATGCTTGCCCAGCTAACCCGAACGAGAAAACACACCTTGTTTACAACCGTGAGTTTTCGGCACGTAACTCCCCTTGAGCGTGCCTCTCTATGCCTTTTTCAGTTTAAGATGTCCGAGTAACGACTTAAGATGCCATGTTGCTATGGTTTCACTCTGTACTGTGCAAGGTACTATCTACATAGCAAAATGACATCTTAAATTGTTACTCGGACATCTTAACTTCATATTGTGACATCTTAAATTGGCTTTTGGACATCTTAAACTGAAAAAGGTATAGTTGCCGTTTTTCGTTTTGAGATTTCCTACTGGATTTTCCATAGTTGCATGCAAAATACCAGATGTTTTCATCGTTCCCGGAGCCGCAAGTAATAACAGTTATGAAGATACCTTTCAGCATTTTCAGTATGAATCTGAACCAGATATTACAGAAAAGAATATGAACGCATTTTGTTCAAATTGTTGTTTGGTAAATTGAAGTCTAATGTTGGAATTGTGAGAAGTTCAGTAGCATCGGTGGGACTCGATACCACGCATTGACGCCGCCTACGCTTTTTTAGACAACACGATCTGTTAGCTGAGCTACGAAGCCACACCGATAGCACTGATCTTTTCATATTCAAATCGTTCATCCAACTTACAGAGGCATCCACCAGTCAGCATGTAAGCTGACTGCCACAACCGATTTTTCTTACCCTGAAACGGAGATCACTGAATGGAGTTCTAAAGTAAGGTCACTTTTTCAACTTGTTGTTTGGCAGCTTGAAATTTTTTGTGCGTAATAGCTGTTGCCAAGACAGCATAGCTTAGCCGAAAACAGAAGTTATACAGTTTAAAATGCTTTGATTTAAGGTGAATATTCTAACTATATGGGCTGCATTCATTACTATTTCAGCTGAAATTACTTTTATGCTTAAGTGAATCAATTTTGGTAAAAATAATACAATGCTGGCAAAAACTGAATGTCATTTATCCTCCAATTTTGAAGCAGGAAGAGCTATGGCACTATTCCACATTCTTATGCCACAAAGACAAAGCAGTTATTTCTCGATTAGCCCTTGTTTCCCTTGAAATAGGTTATGATATCTACTTTGTTTTTTCTGTTTTATAACATAGTGGCAATGGCGTATTACCTGGTCCAAGACTGTGACCACTTGGGTGTCTTATCAGTTTCGGGATGGGCCGGCAAAAATAACCTACTACTGGCCAGCATTACCCAAATATGTAGACTACATTGACGCTGGAATTGAACGGGACGACGCAGCCATTTACATGTTTCGAGGTAAACTAAGCCTGAATGTGTGCCTTTAAAGTTTGCCGTTATCATGCAGGTAGACGGTTCTGGTTATTGGCGGACAATATGCGAATGAAAGACGGTTTCCCTGTGGACGGATTACCGCTAACCGATCTCGGACTACCGTCTTACGTATCCTCCGTTNGTATTCTTATGGAATGAGAATCAAGTTATCTATTTATTTGCCGGTGAATATTATTGGCGTCTGGATGACAAAGCCGGTCGATACGGACAAGTATCTCAAGGATTAGATTATCCTCGCCGAATAGCTGACACTTGGCGTGGAGTCCCGACCCCAGTGGATGCAGCATTCACCGGCCTCAACGGTAAGACCCATGCGATGTTCTCACTATATATATTAGCAGCAAATATGTTCACGGTGGTTTCATCAGTTGACTTTGACCTAATGCCGTTCTCCCCGTGTGTTTTCACGAAAGTAAAACGGTTACCTTTGGTCATATATTTTTTTAAAACATCAGCCTAAAAGATCTAGGGAAACAGGGGGACTACTCCAAAGTTGAGTGTGCAGTCACATTCAGTAACTCAAAAGGACTTGAAAGATCATAATTCCTGTTTGTTTTTATAAAACATCGGAGCTGGAAAAGTAAAGTTGATGATGGGGGTAATACAAACATCTTGGAAATTTTTATGCATTGTACATACACTCATTTCTTCTCTGGATTCATATGAACAAAGTAATTAGAAAATTATCGATATTATCTCTGAGTATTCAAAAATCATAGAGTGCTATATATTTTTCTCAGACTCTTTGTTCTGGTCTCACCAACATTTCTGGCATTTTGCTTGGTCGACCAGATAGGTCACATAACGTTAGTGACCGGAATCGGAGTACAGAGGTGTATGCACGGTTATTGATTGTACAAATCAATGGATAAAATCACTTTTGAACTTTTTTCCATTTTTACTTCCTTTTGTGAATACATAATGATACAATTTTCAGAAGGAGGGAAGCAGCCTATCAAAGAGCTACCACACAACACACAAATGGGAGTAGTCAGGCGGCGTGTGACCAGTATTTTTAAGATTCTTAAATGCTCGACTTCGTGCTCACTTTGAACTCGATAGAGGGCATTATTGTTGGATTAGTGAAGTTTGTCAACCATGAATTGTGGCTGATCATCCAGTAGCTTTACCAGTAATCAGTTATCTTTTACTACATTTCTATTTCAGGGAAAACTATCTTCTTCAAGGATACAAATCATTATGTTTTCGACAATGTGGCCATGCGAGTACATGACGGCTACCCGAAACCATCTGCTTTGGGAATCCTTGGTTGTGTACGGAACGAATAGTTCAGTTTTAAAATTCGATGTTTTGTATTCGTTCTCGAGTCACAGTCACTTGAATTGAATCTGTTCAGTATGACTATGGTATATTTTGCCCATTTTGAATTTCCCATCATTCACGTTTCTCCAACTCTCCCTCTGCTTTTCTCTGTACTTCTCATTACCTGCCTCCTTCACTCCGTTGTCTTTTCTTCTGGTGCACTACATCTATACATCACGAATCCTACCAGAGCTCTACTGTTTTTCAAAATGACTTAAAGTTGAGCGTTTCATTGAGAGCGGATCACAAAGCACTATTTGTAAAAAAAATATCCTGAGCCCCCAAAACGGGACAGTATGTGTATAGAACAGCTTTTAAAATCNAAATCAGATTAGGAACCCAGTTCAAACCCATTAACTGGATAGATGCGGAATGCCCTTTACGGAGTGATATAACCAAGATTAGTTGTAGATCATTCGCAGGGAGTCACACGTCCCGGATAAAATCACGATATTCCATTTCGAAATTCAATTTGTGAGGTCATTATCATGCATGAACAGCCCATCAGACTGCAGTTTAGATATGTCATAGCTAGAATACTTTCATAGAACAAGTGATACTTTCTTACAACACAGCGCTCAAGAATTCAAAACGTTCGAGGCAGATCATGTATCTCTGAGTCCTCAAGGAGTTGGTTGTCCTAGCACAAATATTCAGGGCTTGGGGCTGTTCCACAAGATCATTTTCAACCAAAGGATACCAGGTTATTAGCCAAATATTGATTTTGTGCTCGCCTAAATGTTTTGTCACCGTATCGGTGGAATAACTCTTTTTTGATTACCTCATGTGTGTCTTTATGGTTTCGAAGGAGTATTGATTCATTTTACCTAGGTATTGTACAGAATATTATTCACAAATCATAAAATTGACTGTTCTGGTAAAACAGAAAATATTATGTGGTGATCGGGGAAATCGATCATGTTTCAGGCGATTTTAGCAGTGTGCAGTGGATCACCGTTGAACTGTATTTTATCACCGCCTCGCATGAGTTCCGTTGACCAGGATATTCATTGAGCTGGAATACACCTAAGCGGCAAGATTTGTAAACTGAAGAAATCGAGGCACTTCTATGATGCCTAATGATTGATTGTTTAACACTGATTGCGGCCAGCATCACTGAAGACACTTGTGGTGTTTCTGCAATGGGTGACGAAATCGGGATATCAAAGAATCCGTCTGGCAGTCATGTGCTTAAAAAGCACCAAAGTTAAATGAACCACAGGTTAAACCTATAAATTGGACAGTACACTTGTTGGCGGAAAACATACATTTACTAACTTGGTTATAGTGGTTATCGAAGATGCGGCCATCATCACTTTATTTTGGATGCTTAAGATCAAACTTATCTTATCGAGGCCTCTTATTGTTCGTCATTCCTTGACCCAGGGTTCGTCACTTCTACGGTTCCTCATACTATCGAACGATGAGTGTGACACCTTTTAACCAATAAATTATAATTAGTATAAAGACAGAATAGACCAAAACATTTACATTGTTGGTTCAGCTAATTTGCGATACAAATCATTAGTTGTAATGAGTGATTTGGCATCTTTCCTGGTAAATATTATGGGTTCAGATCACGTGATGCGAAACTAACATGTTACGGCTACGGCCAATCGATTTGTAACCGGATGCGTAAGTAGGTCGCGAAGTGGTGGTTTACCGGGAACGGAGAGACATCGCTGATCGAACATCCAGTCGCGGACCATCAGCGAAACGCACGTGGAAGGTTTGCACCGGCCAAACGATCTCTCTAAAGCAACAGCCTCAGCCATCCAACAAAACCGTTTTGACGTGCATGAATCTGGGCTGACACAAACTGAAACCCTAGGCATCACCTTCTTGCCCAACAGATCACATTGGGTTATCTAAATAAGGGCTAGCGTAGTATCTTCTGAAAAAAAGACTAAGCAATACCGGTGAATATAATTCGTATCATACTCCACAGCTTTCTCATGAACTTCTAAACAAAACCAATTTTGCCTCATTTGAGAGGAGCTTGCGTAAATTACGGCGTGTGATAGAAGTGGATTAAGTATAGTGCATCTCTCTCAAGACTCAAATTTAGCCACTAATTGATGGTATTCAAATAATCTGGTGTCATTTAATGCTTTATTTCTAGTGCCTTTATGGATAAATTACTGATATAATTCTACTGCCGTCATTATCGAATCAACCTGAGCTTATTATAATCAAATTTTCACTCAAAAAATGTTTTTCGTTTCATTTCTTTCATGGTAATTTAATGTCCTAATTGACGTGATTGAAACCGTGCCACATAATTCTCAATGATTAGGCCGCATGAAACCAAATTGGAGTTGGCAGTCGCATCACAATCGAGCACCAACGACGAGTATTTGGTTTCTGTTCGTTCAAATGATTGTTAAAAAGGAATCCAATTGTCTATGTACAAATCACGTAGAATGTCAGAGGTTTTATTGTGTAATAAAACCAACATTGACAAAAACACCCACATATAAGTGACCAGAGTTCAGGCCGATTGTGAAGGAAAAGATATCTCTCCCGTTTGAACAGTCTGGGTTGTGTGGCGGGTGTGGGGAGGGGAGAGGTGCAGATGGGCGAATATAAGAAGTAATAGGTCAGGATGAGTGCAGACGTGTTCTATCCGATGAAATGTTCCGTTTTCCCTTTTAGATCTGTGGCCAGATGTTTGTTTGCATAGGCCTGTAGAAATTGCATTCCTTCCACCCATCGTCGCCTCGGCTTGGATACCCCTGCATACAAAAACACATCTATACACACGCACATCCATATGCAATGTCTTTGTGACTGTAACTTAGCTTCTCGGTGTCTCTCGCCGTCATTAAACACAGACACGAATCGAACATCCGACTGCCACATGCGTATGGCTGGACACAAGGCACATTTAAGACAATCAAAATGGCTGACCCAACGGTCAGTTTGTGCTTTGTTCCCTATTTCTTCCTGTTCTTATTTACTCCAATATGGTTCCGAGGGTTGCCTCCTCACACTTCACTTCCTACCTTCTCTCTCTCTTGTTCCGCCCATCGAATTTACGATGACAACTAGAGTAAACGTAACTTGTTATTGTCACACATGTGTCGTGTTCCGATTGGGAGGCTAAATAGATTGCTGTTCAGCACCTCAGGCAAATTTTTATCTTTCACCGGGTTCGTTGTACCATTTTTTATGTATTTTTCACGCTTACCAGGCCCAGGATTGGAGTGTGTTTGTGCATATTGGAAACCATGTGCAAAACTCTCCAAGCAGTCCGTGATGTAACTAACTGGAAGATCGCACGATGGATACATGATTTCCACCAGGTGGTAGATAGGCCTACGATTCGCCCGTTCAAACATACATATGTGTGTGTATGTTTCTCCATGTGGGTGGAAACAGTTTCTGGGATAGGGGTAGGCTGATGTTTGCGCAACCAACACTGCAGGAGCACAGTGGGAAAGCAACCTTTGCCAACCCAGTTTTCACATACAAACGAATGCATTAAGGGAGGAAAAGGGTTCAGTGTTAGATGTAGGGTTGCAACATCTGGTCTACAGACTGGTACTCCAATGATTAAATTGCATCCGCCTAATGAAGCCTGAGTTGTGCGCACAACGCAAATTGATTCAAGCTCTCAAACTTCCCTGGCCAAGGGAAGAGAAAATCGCTTGTTCACACGACCATGACTTGACGACTTTGGATGAAGTGCTTCTAGCTGAAAAGGCCCCCAGAGGTAACCTCGAGCTCATAACTATTTGTTCAGAAATCATTTTAATCTTGTTTTCACCTATGTTCTTAGTTTGTCGAAATCAGATGGGACAGTGTATCCCAAACAGAATTTGTGTTGTTGTTTGCAAAAACCGGTCAGTGCCAGAGCGGTTAATCCGAATTCATTTTCGCCTATTCGGAAAATGTTATGATGGAATTATAAGTTATATCAAGAACCACATACCGGACAGTTCTATAAAGCTTCTCATTGAAGTACAACAAGATGACATGTGATATTTTTTACCTCTATTTCTGGGGGTTTGAAATCACGATTTTTGGGATAAAACAACATTCAGAATCGGAAACAAGTCTAATTTGGGTACACCGGACGAATTACATTACTGTTAGAGTGATTTCAAGAAGCTTATTCTCTAACTGATATTATAGTTCAGCCAGCGAGTTATACTCGGAAATATGAGCTGGATCGGATTTGATCAATCTCAGATATATTGCTCAGAAAAACATCATAAGCGATGACATGCCAGTTGAAGCTACCACAGAGAACTTGGCCCGTATTTATTTGAGAACTTTTAACACCAGCCGCTTTGTAATCCCATCATAGAGGGAAAGATGTTATAGTTTATTAGTTCCTTGGGAGAAAATTCTTTGGATTTCTCACCTAGTCTTTTATATTGGGAGTCTGCTCTTGTCCTGATTGACGGTGTTTTTTTAACGTTTAATAGAGTTTGGTCTTTGCCATTTAACTCTTATCGATATTGAGCTCCATCAATTCCCCGCGCCACATTGTATTTTCTGTGTGAGATAGGCTCGAATTTCAGTTTACATTCCACATAGATGATTGGTTAAATTACATTTGTTGAGCTATACCAGATTTGAAAAGTTGGTTCCATCTTTTTTTGCTTTTGTTTGTTTCATTTATCTCCTATCTACGAGAGGATATTGCGTAGCATAATTCATATCAAGTGCGAATGCTGACAAATCGAAATCGCGGGGAACAGATTGTATTTTTGCAGTTCGCTGAATCCGCTTGTAGATTGATGTGAAACTCTCGATCCCTGGTAAAAGGAGTGGCGCATTTTTGTATTCAGTTCCAAACTTAACCAAACAGTATCCCCGGCTTTACATTAAACTTGTACCTTTTTTGCTTATGCATACAGTTTTGCTCAGTTATATACCAAANTCTGTCATGTGATTTCATAGGAATTTTTCAGTAGTAAACTGTCTTACTTTGTTCAAAATTAACTGTGGGACTGGG